GTGAGATAGTGTTGGACAACGACTTCTTTCTGGTCGCGTGTTTGGATGACTTCATAGAAAACGCCCGACTCTTCATATTCGAGACCTTCTGTCAGATTCACGAATGCATTTCCATTAGGTATGTGTCAAGTGTTTGACTGCATTTGACTCCTTATGTTGTCTCCCATTTAATGCAATGATTGTCTCATTTGACTGAACAGTATGTTAGCCGACAAACTGAATATGAATAGCGAAGAGGCCGAGCGATGGATCGTGAATCTGATCCGAAACGCACAGTTGGACGCGAAGATTGACTCCAAGTTTGGTCACGTAGTGATGGGAACTCAAGCCGTCTCTCAATATCAACAGCTTATCGAGAAGACCAAAGCGATGGCTATTCGGACACAAGTGTTGGCGATGAATATTGAGAAGAAAATCGCTTCAAATTAGTTTTAAACATTTATTTCAATAAAAAAATTCTTATAATTGCTATTTGTGTTATTGAATACATTAATGGTTCAAATGGTAGGTCTCGTACTTAGCGGCCGCCGCGTCCACCACCGCATTGGCCACATTTGTGTTCAATGTCGAGCCGAAAGAATAATCTTTGGTGTGGATCTGTTGGTGATGTTATGGTTGTGATGATAGCGATGATAATCACTGTTTACGTCAGTCACGTGAACGCACCGGCAGTTTGTTGTGCGGCTCCTATAGATGGCGTTCATTACAACATGAGTGTGACTACACTCTACTTGTGGTTTTAATACAAGTTTTATTTATAGGCTATATATTTGTTGCAATGATTTACGTGTTTTGCGTACACATGGTATACAAAAGCGAGCTCTGCCTGTATTTCATATGACATGCTTTGAAAATCGCATTCAAAACAAAACATTTTCAAAACCAAAACAACTCTTATATCTGTCGGCTGTTTGACCGCAAAGAGCGCCACAACTATTACTACTACTACTACTTCTTGAGCACTGCTATCATCACCAAAAGGAGTGGACACTCGCGAAGACAATGACAACAAACAAACGCGTGCTTTACTGCGGAGGACTGTCTGAAGAGGTGGACGACAAGATGGTTGAGTCGGCTTTCATACCATTCGGCGATATAATAGACGTGAATTTGCCGATCGATTTCGCGACACAAAAACACCGCGGATTCGCTTTCGTAGAGTTCGAGTCGGCCGAAGACGCGGCCGCAGCCGTGGACAACATGAACGACGCCGAGATCTGCGGCAAAACCATTCGCGTCAATATCGCGAAGCCTATCAAACTCAAGGAGGGATCCGCTCGAGCCGTCTGGTCGGAGGACGCGTGGCTTCAGAAACACGCGGGACAGACACTCACTGACGGCCAGCAGAAGGACACCAATAAGACCGACGACGAGAAGGAGGGCGAGTCCGCGGCCGCCGCCACCGCTGTTGAGGGCGAATCCGCTGGCGGTGAGAAACTGGAGGCCGATATGGAGGCTGTGGCCGATGAGGACGAGTCGCCAGAAGTGAAGCGTTTGAAAGCGAATCCCAATGTGTTTTTCGATATGCGAATGGACGGCCAGTTTATCGGCCGAATACGGATTATGCTTCGCAAAGACATGTGTCCGCTAACGGCCGAGAATTTCCGCTGCCTTTGCACTCACGAGAAGGGCTTTGGCTTTAAAAATACCATTTTTCACAGAATTATTCCCAATTTTATGGTAAGTGTCTTATAGT